TGGGGTAAGTTTCTAATAATTTACAAGTTCATCAGTAAGAAGACTCAGGATAAACAAAAAATATTTATTTATAAATATTTTTTCACAGAAGGAAGAAAACACGATGCCGGGATGCTGGGAGAATCGTGTTTGATGAGAGATCTCGAAAGGTTTGCTCACTCTCCAACTGGTGAAGCTCTGTGTATCTACGGCGATCCAGCATATTCACTGAGAATTCATCTGCAAGCACTATTTCGCGGCGCAAATCTCACAGACGAAATGAAAGCTTACAATAAAGCAATGAGCTCTGTTCGTGTTTCGGTGGAATGGCTCTTTGCGGAAATTGTGAAGTATTTCATGTTTGCAGCTTTTAAACGAGGTCTTTCCATTGGATTAAGTCCTGTTGGAAAGATATACATTGTTTGTGCGCTTTTGCAGAATGCCCACGCATGTTTGTATGGCAACATTGTTTCAGATTATTTTCTACTTCAGCCACCAACCCTTGAAGAATACTTTCAAATAGAGTAAAGTTATCAGGGCCAGAAAACAAACTTGTTAATTAAGTGACTATAAATAGAGTTGAGTCAGATTTCTTGTAAAATATGTAAATTTCAGTCATAACAATAATCTATTTGGTTTGGTTAACATACAAATAATTCGTTAGCCTGAATATACATGAACGATTGACGAATTATCAATTAAATATTCTTTTTCTAGCCGAAATGCATAGAAATAATTTTATACTGACTTATTTGAATATGAAAACAATAGACAAGAGTCACAAATCCCAGTCCTTCAAGACAGTATCCAACTATAAAATAAACATCTCAACACTCGCGACATTTTAAATCGAACAAAATATGCCTGGATACACAAAAGAATAACGGAACAAATGTAAGAATTGCGGGCTCTAGTCTGTCCAATCGATAAATAGCCTGCATACTCCTTGCAACAAATAAAAAAATTAAATACATACAATTTATATAGTGCATGTTCAGTCTTTTTTAGCCAATGCTATTAATGCCTGAAGCATACTTTCATCTCTTTTCTTCTGTGCTTCTAATTCTTCCCTACGAATCTCGATCTCCATTCGCTTTATTTCCAGCTCTTGTTTTTTAATTTCGCTGTTACACTCGGTTGTTTTGAGCAAGTAATCCACTACACTGCTTCTACGCTTTCTAGTTGAGCTTGGCGTGTCTGATGACGAACTGCCATCTTCGTCGTCTGAACCTTCTCCGATTGCCCCCTCTGCACGTTTTTTGGTTTCACGAAATGTCTCCATAGCCGTTCGTCTTATCTCTTCAGCTTCCGTAGCATATTTCGAGCGTGCAGCATCCTTGACTTCTTTAGCCTTACAAGCAGTTTCTTCTTGACTTTCAAACTGGCCTATGATATCTTCCATTGCCATATCAAACTCCGTTGATTCAGGGTTTGTGCCACTTTCCCATGGTTCGTTTGATACGTTTCTCTTGTATTTTGTTTCCAGCAACCCGTACCTGTCGCGTACGTTTCTAATGGATGTGAGATTAAATGAAACTTCGGTCTTGCCGTTAAGATTATCCACAATTTTTTGCCATGCTGTTCCAATTTGCCGAGAGCCTTTCGGGTGTTCGAACGGTCGTTCAGCAAGTATTTCGCGCAGTAAATGCATGTCGTGTGCTTCACTCCATTTAATCGGTTTTTTAGTCAGAAGAGAGACATCTGGGTATTAATCTGTGCCGCGTGAAGCTCACGGCGGCGTGCTGGTATTGTCATTGTGGAAAACATCGATCGGAAGTAATTTGTATTTCCGGTCACCGTCGCTGCCTTTCAAACCGTCGAAGCTTAAGTTCATTATTAGCCGCAGAAAGCGACGAAATAAAAACCCCGAGCGGCCACTATGGCCTGAACAAGGTCAGATGAGGAAGGAATCTTACCTTCCAAAGTATCTTCACGCATAGATTACCAAATAATTTCCAATTCTAAGGAGGAGAGGGTGCAGGCCAGCGGTGATGTCTTGGTGTGCGGGAGGACGTTGTTTTATCATCGTTGTTTGTTATTCTTTGAATTCACTGTATTCAAGTTAGAACACAGTTAATGGAATATACATGGTTTTGAGACTACATAAAAGTACAATCACAGGAAAAAAATATGTTTTCCAAGTTGGAGTATTGTTGGATAATATGGCATATAGGTTACCAATCTTGGACCATCATTGGAATCAAATAAAGATACCAATAAAAACCCAGTGGTAGCCCAATAACATTACGTTGAGGAACTACTACAATTACCAATGTTGGAAAATCATTGGCATTTCAATGGTATATATGCAAGGGACGAATTTCCAATGTTGGAAAATCATTGGCATTTCAATGGTACATATGCAGGATGAAGTTCAAATATTGGAAAATCAAAGTCATCATTGGACAATTTCGTCTCCTGACTCCAAAGATGACACAATGATATACCAAACTTGAATATTAAACAGTCCAATATTGGAAAATCGTTGGCATTTTAATGGTATATATGCAGGACGAACTTCCAATATTGGAAAATCATTGGTATTATATATATAGGATGAGAAGTTTCAATATTGGAAAATCAATCATTATTGGGGCCATTTAACTCTTCACCACCAAAAACGACTTTGTATATTTTACTCTGGCTAATGCCAGACGATTTTACTTGTCAATGTGGACCTCTGGCGGTGTAGGTGCTAAAGTAGGGGAGAAAACAACTCGCAGCTTGCGTATGAGTAAGACTCGTGTTATACAAATTTAGACGCATCTTTATATGAAACATCAAAATCTTGTTTCTTGCAATGCAAAGGATAACAAGCTTTAAATTGGCGATTTTTTGTTTGCTTTAGATAGTGGACTTCTGCACGGCTACGCCGCATAATTAATTACTGAAGTTATTCATGCATGAAGCATGTCGTTCACGCCACTTCCTGAGTTTTCCAAGGTATCACCAAAACGTCCCCAACAGTCATCTAATACATAATTGATTTACCACCTATCATGCATCTCCATCATATCATTGCGTGATGAGAAGTTTATCACATAAGTAGTTTATATTGTGTCGAGTATGTACTCTGCTTCCGGAGATTTAACGCTATTAGCTATAGTTAAATCTAAAACAATCACAGCTGAATCTGTATAATCACAGCTTATAGATAATGGTTTGCGATGTCGATAAACCATAGATACAGAGACCGAATTTTGTAATCGTATTATATTTGAAAACAATCAAACAAACAATTCGACCTAAAGTTAATAAACAAAATAAAGCTATGTAATATACTATATAAAGATCAATTTACCATGCACATAATAATACCTAATTTACACATACTACACTAACAAAATAAACATTAACTTACTTCTGTGACAAAATCCATGCAGTCTTTCAATACATAAATGTTAGTAAACTTATTTACCCAGGTTAGCAATCGTTAAACAGTCCTTTCTCAGTAAGCGCTCTCTTCCTCTGGTTTGCATGCGGTCCTAACACCTAATCATAGTAATTACTTAAAATGTCAATCAAACTTATCAGTCCTTATTGGCTGTATATTATTAATTAATAACTAAACCAGTGTTGCCAACCTTGGGATTTTATCCCAAGATCTTGGGATTTTTTAAGGCTGTTGGGATTTTTTAGAATAGAGACAAGATAATGTTTTAATAATGATAGTTGTAATACTGATTAATCTGCCTGCTCGGTATAACTGTTATTCACTAAATATTTTAATATATCATACAGAGTATACAGCAGTTAAGTGCTGAGATCAGTGAGAAGGTTTCTTCCTATCGTTTATACAAGACCAAGTATTTCGCCAGGCTTCGGTTAACGCGCATGGCTGAACACTTCGCCTGATGAGGGGACCTGGGAACTAATGAAAAAAATTTTGGGATTTTTTGGGGGGAAAATAGGGAATCTTGGGATTTTTTGGGAGCTATATTGGGATTTTTAGGAAAACTGACTTGGCAACACTGAACTAAACTAAACGTGCATATAAACATCGTATATAACGAAACAGATAACACAACACACCCAGCCTTTATCACCGGCCACATACAGTAGGCTGTAGCACCTTTTGTGTTTAAGAACCAACAACAGAATATTACAGTAATATCTTTTTCAACAGAATATTAACATATTTTATTAACAATTACAATATGTTTGTTATCACCATCGAATACTTTCTGCAGCATAACTTTCCTACTTATATGCTTGAGCTCTCCAACAACGATTTCGTTATCTTCTTTTACAGTTTTATGATAGCTGGTAGTGGCATCTCCAGCCCAGGAAAATTTTGCCAAGGTGAGAAGAGATCTACTTTCTCCCGAGATAAGCACAGTGAATATTGTTAGTATCTTTCCAAGTATTTCACCTTCGCGAGTGATAAATATGATCGTTTCATTTTCTCTATAAAGCAGCCCATTAAACGTATGTGTTGGGAACCACACGCTACGACAAGATTTGCCGCTTTCTTCGACATTTTGTAGCTGTTGTTCAACGCATTCTGCTACAAGCACTCTGGCATTTTCTGGCACTGTAATAATCACGAAGACCACCAACAAGGATACCTTGATAGAACTCATTAACTATGTCGGGGAACATGATGCAAAAAATTGTCCCCTTATTCGTCACGTGTCTGTTGTATTTTGAACAAATAAACCATGGTAAGGTCTGAATTAACATGTTGTTCAAGTCACGGTCGAGGAGCTAAGCCAAGCGGAAGCCATTGCTATTGGTTAGTTGGGCAAAAATACAATAGACATGTGACGGATAAGGAACCATTTTTTGCATAAACCTGGACAATAACATAGATAATGAGTTGTATTGTACTTCTATCTAGCCTCCAATCCATGTATATTCTAATAACTGTGGTTAGCAAGAGTGAATAAATAAGACAATGCATTGTTAAATTGAGTCCAGTATTTCGAAATTTTATAGAGTTATATAGCTCAGTGCTGGCAAATAACATGAAGTCATGCATGAAAAATTGCAGGCTCAGATACCAAGATTAAAATGTTCATATTATTTATTTTAAAATTTCAGTGTACATTTATTAAATTTTGAAATATTTTGTATTTTATTTTACAAAATATTGGCAATTAGGGGCGATTTTGCCCGCGAATGGAAGAGCAGAGCAAAAAAGAATTGGTGGCTCTTTTAGAAAGACAGAAAGAGCAATTAAAAAGATATGAGGCCAGGCTGCGAGGTACATGATACAAAATGATATGAATATTAAAACTATAAAAGTGCATGTAAATTGTTTTTAAGCTGTAGCATTAGGTCCAATTACACGTGTTAAAAAAATCCAAGGCTTATAAGTCTCGCGTAAGCATGAAGCAGTTGTTAAAATCATTAAAGGAGGTTTACATTGCAAGTTGACTGTGTGACTGATCTTGCAACCTATATTGCAATATGAATATAGCAGTTTATAGCTCCAGTACAGGAATTTCTTTTTATTGTCTATGATGTTACACAGTTATTCATAAGGAACCCACATATATAGGTGTGTTGATATTCAGTTTTAGCCCACCTCAATGTTTAAATTTATTGCTCCTGAATACAGGCCTGTTGAATAGTATATAAATATAAGTGTTGAATAGAGGTAGCCCATGCAAATTTCTCAGCAGAAAAAAATCACAATCTCCTGATACTTAACATTGACAACTTAGGGAAAGCCATTATATAGTAGCTTCATTATAAACAAACTTATTTGTTGACATGCTTAGAGACTTGCTTAATCCTTATTCATTCAGTAATATTATAACTGAACAATAGTACTGAACAAGAGTATAGTTCACATTTGTTCAGTAAAAGTTCAATTATCATTGATAAGTTCAATTAGCAATGAGGTTCATTTGTGAAGGATTACCCTCACAACTATTTTGCCTCCAGAGGTTATATACCTAAAGTTCATGAGTCAGCAACAAGATTTGGCAAGTTTTTTTTTCCACGCACATTTTCCTTGAAATATGCCATTTTCAAATCAAAATCTACGTTAAAAACAACTTTCATTTTTAATATATGCACAATTCGGTTGGAATACTACACTTTGGGTAACCTTAGTAGTTTAAATTCCATATATACACTAATAAAACAAGTTGTAGCTAAAAACCTGACTCAAAGTGTTGGCAACAAGTCTGACGATTTAGTCATATGTAAATTTGAGTTATAAAATTTTAATTTCTTGAACTATATCAACTTTACCTAGATGTTGTCCAGGCTTACAAAGGGTTACAGAAAGAAAAGAACGTGTTAGAGAAGAGTTTACGGGCTTTGAGTAGTGACAATGTTGAAGTTGGTTCTGCAGAGAAGTTCCACGATGTACATCTAGATGACAGGAAAGTTGTGAGAGTGGAAAATGAAAACACCACCAAATTAAGTTCAGGAGAACCAAAACCTCAGTTACCTAAACCTGAACAAGCGCAGGTAAAATATGATAATTGTTATCAATATGAAAAATTTATTTCAACACTATAAAACATGCAGTAATTAACTATTTAGAAGTATAGACCTTTTGAGATGCAATTGAGCAAAGCATGCCTACTAGTTTGCCCCTGGTAAAAACTGTCGAATATTTATTTATAGGAACTAAGTGCCACATGCCAGATGAGTGATCAAACAGGCTTGCAGGCTCAGCTAAAAACACTTCGTGAAGCATTGGATACCATTATGGAGCAAAAAACAAAGATGGAAAACTCATTTCAAGCTGATAGAAAAAAATTTTTGGTATGTTTGACATTTGTCTGACTTTAAAGATTTTGTATTGTTCTGATCGCTGGTTTGAACTTTGAAGTCTGAATTTTAAGCATTCACTCAAGGGGTAGTATAGTCCCAGCTGAAGCATACATGTACCAAATGATAGAAATATTAGTTATAGTATTGACTGATTTGAGTCATGTCATAATACTAATAAGTTACTTTGGTGTATCTCAGGAAATTGTGTGCTTGATTTGAAATAACAAGGGGTTACTGCAGCTAGGCATGTATTTCTAGTACATTTTAAGTGATTGTGGGTTATTAAGTGAGAAAAAACACCCGTTTAGATAATAGTTAATAATGAAATACCCATTTTATCTATAACCATGTTTTGTGCAGAAATTTCTGTAGCCATTCTTAAATACAGGTTGTTCAACTGGACAAGCCCTGGATGCATAAATTAAGATAGCGCGTGGTTTTTGAGGCTCTTTGGGAAGAAAATTTTAAAGGTCAATTATTGTTACTTTTATTTTCAGCATGAACTTGAAATAAAAGAGGCTTGTTTTGCCAAAGAAAGAAATGAATTCTCTGAACTCAAAGAAAGCATGCAGAAGGATATTCAAGAGGTGCTGTGACAATAAATCGTTGATTTTAAACACGCTTTAGAGCAAAAAAAGGTGGACCCTATATAGCCCTATACCTTAAAATCAGTTTTGTAGCGTAAGCAGACTTTTCAGGACATGTCCTCGTGGGTGTGACAACACGTATCGTTTTAGAAATTTAGTCCGAAATATCGGACGACGGCTTAAATAAGTATAATGACTGTTTTCCATTACGCGGTTTTCCATTCCGGCAGGTCGAATCACAAGACAAATTTAATGTTTATTTTAGTTTCTCACCTGTTTTGTAGCTACGGATTCGCACTCGTGGTGAACAACAAGCACGTGAGACGGAACAAAATGATCATGTCATGATGTTGAAAGAAATGCAAGTACTTGTTGCTAAGGAAAGATTGGCGAGGGAGGAACTTGAGAAGAATATTGAACGTCTTGAAAAATCATTAAACGAAAAAGAAGCCCAGGGCTTTAAGGGTCGACTGAGAAAATCAGATGATGTAACGTTGGTGAACTTGGAAGGTAGTCGTGAAAATGTTTTCGTGCTGTATACTCGGTATCTCCGCAATCCCATGGTTAAATTCAGGCTTGTTAACTTGGGGCGAGTTGTTCAAAGCTAGGTTAAAGCTAACCCTGGGTTAAATTGCAATTCGGTGTTTGATGTGCTTCTGAACCATTAGTTGTTTTAAGACTTTAGGAAATACTGTATGACTGCTATCGGTCCATTATCGGTATTTATGAAAAGATACTCAACTTTGTAAACAAGCGATTAAAAAAATTATTGTAAAAATTTGTTTTAACCCTGGGTTAAGCCAACTGGCTTTTGAACAACCGGCCCCTGCGGGAAATTCCAGCTATATGGTTTGCCCTAAATCTGTACTAAAAGTACAATTATCGCCTGATAAATGAGTTATGGACCCTGAAAAGATTGATCGCTAATGTTAAAAACAAGGGGAAGACTTACATAAGAAGGAATCGATCATTTCAAATATATGTATAAGGCCCTGTCTACACTAGTGCGTTTTGGTTTGAAAACGCATACATTTCGATGCGTTTAGGCCTTCCGTTCACACTAATACGCTCGAATACGCTCAGCGTATTCACCGAAAACGCATCGATTTGAATACGCTGTTGAAAGTGAATACAAATGAAAACGCATACATATCGTATTAGTGTGAACACTTAAAGACGATACTTTTGAAAACGATTACGTCACACGCATCGATTGCCACCAGTGATTGCCACTCATTTCAGGTTTTAAGTCAGTTATCCGCGGCATAATTCTAACCAAACATGGCGGACGAGCAGGATATGGAGTTTCTCATGCTTCTAGCAAACATAATTGTTTGTTTGTAGTTAAATGTTGCGTTGTATAACGCCATGATGGCTTTACACCGAAGACAAATAGCTGTCTTACGAGCATACATTTTATCTGGGCCTTCTCCAGGTCCAATTCGAGCAAAAAATCGGTCTTGCAGACCAACGAGAAGATTTAGGTATTTAGGGATAAAAATTATAAAGGAAGTGTGTACTGCCGAGCATGCGCAAATTACCGTTTTACGTCAGACTACGATCCGGTCATCGTATTCAAGCGTTTTAGTGTGAACAGTCGAATACGCTACGAAAACGGTAGTATGAACGCGAATCGATCGATGCGTTTTCGGTCTTGCGAAACCGCATACAAACAAAAACGCACTAGTGTAGACAGGGCCAATCTCGTTCCTCGAACTCGCGATTCCCTTGCAAGGAAACGAAGGTTCTCGGATGATACAAATCATCTCCTGATATACATCAGGCAACCATTGTTTAACAAATGATGAATTATTTATTTTAATTTGGAAACAGGTGTGAAACAACACAGACAAAATAGTTAGTGAGTGTGTCGTCTCGCAATGATAAAAATTTTCGCATCAACACCCTTTTTTGTCTCACTGAACAAACCAATCAATAGACTGGACCTCCAGCTTCGAATTGATTTGAAATAAAATTAGCGAAGCTTTTCATGCTTATAGTATGAACTATGTATAATTACAGTTGGAATTTTCGAATATTTTCAGTTCTAAGTTTTTCTCAGTTATTTTATCCCAATATTTGGTAGCTACAACCTAGGTTTAAACCTTGTAAATTTATCGCTAGAAAATTCCGTTTTGAAGCCTTATTTACACTACGCTCAAGTTTAGGTTTGGTGCGGATAAAATTTGGAGCGTCTGTCACATCGTTCTCGAGTTTATCTATACCAAAACTGAAATTGAGCATTAAGTGTAAAGTAAACCAATAAAGTTGGTGCGAGTGAAAACTTACTATTTGGCAGTTTAAAATTTCAAATCTGTTCCGGAAATTTAGCACTTGTTAGAAATGGTCTCGCTAAATCCACCTGGTGAACTGTTGATAGATTTTAGCATGTTCACTAAAAATTACAATTTTTAGAATAAAAATTTGCTGGCATATGTTTCAGGGAGTTAATGCTTGTTTTGCAATGAGGTTATATATAGCTACATGCTCGTCGTCATCCTTTGTCTATTCTATTATCCTTTACAGGCTCACATGTTGGAAGAAGTTTAGATAAAAGCATCCAGGTTTCGGATTCACCTGCCGCGTTGATTAAATTGGAAGAAGAGATGAGGAAGATCAAACTACAGCTTGAAAATGATATTTTATCCGAACAAAAACGCGCCAACGAAGCTGAAAAAAAGGCGTCTTTTGTTGCGAAAGCTGAAGAACAACGTGTAGCTGATCTTGGTATGACTGCAAAATAAGAGATATTGTATAAACTGTATTATCAGACAGTTTTCTGACATTTACAGCTTGAACTTCTAATTTAACGCCTCGAAGCAAGAAAGTGTCTCAACCTCAGAAAAGCTCTGTTCCCCCATGTAAACTCAGCTATCGGAGTAAAACAGTATTTGAAAACAGTATTTTTTAACGTCTTCATCAGTTTTCATCGTTGTCTTCAGTTACCCCATGCAATACAATGATGAAATTGTTAAAGAAAGGAGATAGTTCAGATATAAATGAAACTTTACTATATTAAAACACGATATTTCAATCTTTTTGTCAGAGGCCAAGCTTTCAGAGCTGTCCAATGTGGTTGGCAAGTACGAGAGATTAAGGTCACATGATCTGATGGAAATTAAAAAATTAAAGGATCGTATTCACATGTTCACCACAACGTCTAAGGATGACCTCATGTCAGACAATAAGAATTTAAGGAATGATTCGAGCTTCGATAACGAAAACCTGGACGGCGTGCTTCGTAAGTTGAAGGAAGTCCTGCGATTTCGTTATGAAAATCGAGAAGAGATTGCTGAATCGAGTAAGTACTGTATCTAACTTCATTATAATTAGAATTACTGTCATTGCAAATCGAGGTTGGTTGGACATTTTGCTGAAAGGGATTTCGCCAAAAGACATTTTTCTCTGTGAAATTGCACTGGCTTTCGCGAGCTACCACTCTCCTTTTGATAGATGTGAACGAGTGAATTAGTTACTAGTGTTCAAAAAAGAGCTCTTATACATTGGAGCTTCATAACTGCAGTAACTATAGAAATAATACATGCATGCAGCAACCCCTCGCCATTTCAAACAACGAAAAACATTTCCTAATTAAGCTACATGTAGCCAGACCTAATCGTATCCCGGGTCGCGCAAAAAAATGTTAACCTGTTTGATTGAGTATAACTTCAAAATTAAAATAGCTATTACATTAAAATTATGTTTGTTATATTCTCTAATGTCTAAATTAAATTTTGATATATAGTATGACGTTTTTCATGCAGTTTTGACCGAGATATCGCGGTTTCAATTTAAATATGCATTTTCGAAAAGTGGAAGAATTAGCTAAAAATGGCATATTAAAGTGAGTTGACAAATCCTGGTATTTTATCACAGGTATTCGTCTGTTTCAATGAAGTTTAAATAGAAGTATTTGACAGATGGATAAGGTCTTTTTATTTTCTGTGTTATGACATGTTGGAAAGCGTTAAAACATTGAAATTGGCTATTTTGGTTTAGACTTTGTTCCAAATATTTTATGTCCCATGGGGAATAGAATTCGTTCGGTAATGCACAAATTAAAGAAACAAATTGGCATGAATTCTACTCGGTTGTTCTTTTGTTAATATGCCTCGTTTAACGATACAACAGCGAGTTTGGGTTTGCACAGAATATGCCAGGGTTAACAATGCTCAAGAAGTCATACGATGATGGCCAATTTATTGGGATAACATGCCTGCACCTAGTAAACAAACCGTTATTAAAGCATTTAGAAAGTTTTGGCGAGAAGGGACTTGTCATAATCTAAATAAAGGACGGAGCGGTCGAACAAGAACGGCGCGAACAGCTGAAAACATCGAATTAGTTCGACAGTCCCTCACAGAAAATGGTAAACGATCTTCGCGGCGAAATGGTTTAGGATTAACCCGTCGCACGTTTCAGGGAATCGTTAAACTTGATCTCAATTTCCACCCGTACGTATTAATTCGGAGGCAGAAGTTAAGAGATGGTGATCCGGCGCAGCGTTTGGCGTTCTGTGATCAATTTGTAACTGCTGTTCAGCAAAACCCTGGTTTCCTGGATCAGTTAATAGTATCCGACGAAGCAGTTTTCAGCTTAAATTCGGAAATAAACACAAGGAATGTCAGGAAATACGCAGTTCATGGCGATGGTCACCCACCCGATCATTATGTTGAATTCTTTAAAGGAGCAGATCAAGTTATGGTTTGGGTTGGTTTGAACAGGACAGGAATTGTTTTGGGTCCCCACTTTGTCCAAGGAAATCTTGACACCAGAGAGTATCTACGAATCATCCGTTACAACGTCGTACAAAGAGATTTTCGCATTCATAACATCGATAGAAATGTCATGTTCTGGCAGCAAGATGGAGCTCCTTCGCACACCAGTAACGCGACCATGCAGTATCTTCGTGGTCAATTTCCCGGCCGTGTGATGAGTAAACGCGGTGATTGGCCTTGGCCTCCCCGCTCTCCTGATCTCACAGTGTGTGATTTCTTCCCTTGGGGGTAAAGCACAAGATTTGGAACGTGCCGCATGGTCAGTAACCAAACAATTTGGAACAGCTTCGTGCAGCAGTTGTTACTGAATGCCGCAACATCAACCATGAAATAATCCAACGTTCATTTGACATCCTGGTCACGCGAGCAAGACGTTGCATCAATTCTGCAGGGCATGCTTTTCAAAATCAATAGACGTTGAATTGCACGGTAAAAAATGAACGCATAGTACTTTGTTGTTGTGTGCTTGATTAAAAACGAACATTAATTATTATCATTTCTCATTTAGCTAATATGCCATATTTTACTAATTTTTGCACTTTGTAAAAGCACGTATTAAAAGTTAAACGCCGATATCTCTGGGAATACTGTATCAAAATACACATGGTATATAACAAATTTTAATTTAGACATTCACGAATCTAACGAAAGTTATTTCAGTGTAACAGACCTCTTAGTTTTGAAGTTATACTCAATCAAACAGGTTAACTTTTTTTTGCGCCACCCGGTATATGACTCAGGTGAGTCGACAGCTGATATATTTAATTTTCGGAAACAAATATAGTTATAAAAGTAATAAAACTAAAAGAAAAATGAAGTAAACATCACCATTTTCCCGCTGCATTTAGCAGACACTCAGAACTTATGTAACGGTTAAAAATTAAAGTTTAAAACATCAAAATAGTACGAAACCCTTAAGGGCTATAAAACGCCGAATGTTGTTCTTCAAATTTTTATGCAGTGATCAGTCGAGTCTAAAATTTTTGAAGTGATACTTGTTCTATCAAAATTCCAAATTACACTTTCAAAAACTCTTTTTGAACTGACAGCAAATGCGGAATTTATAATCAATTTCCTCTTTCACCGCTAGTTTTGTTATGATCAATCTTTTTTCAGTCTTTATAATTGTCCTTTTTTCACGTTTTTTTTTTCAATTAAAGTGTATGTACAAAACATTATTACAAAATAATTCACAAAATGACAGTTAATTAGCTGACATTCATGCTGATTGACCAAAGGTCAGAACGATCTTAGTCAATCAGAAAGTTACTTTACTAGTTTAAAATTTTGCACATGCGCATAACTAAATCATCCATAATATCGAGCAGAAATAAAAACCTTTATAAGGAGGTAAAACTAGAAATGAGGCTTTGTATATTGTCAGAGGTGAAAACTCTTTTATTAGGATTAGCCTATCTTCAGTATAACCATTTAAATGTTTTGTGATGCTTTTGGTTTATGTTCACGATGTTTTCAGGTGATATTGGTATCAGTAAAGCTGATCTTGAGTGCATTCTCCAAAACGACCCTGCTCACAAAGCTTGCCGTGAGGAACTTCGACAACTGAAAGATGAATTCGAGTGTTATAAGTCAAAAATACAAATGATGAGAAAGTCTCGTGCCGAAGATGAGACTGAGTCTAACAGTAAAGATACAGAAAAATTTAAAAATCGTATTAAAGACCTTCGAACAACCTTGGAGTCCTTACAGAAACAGCTTGATGATAAAAATTCCGAGCTAGAAGTGCTTCAAGAAAGGCTGTCCTGTGAAAAGACTGATCTACAGAAATTACATAATTCGGAGTTGGACGTCCAGCGAACGATCTACGCTGCAAAAATGCAGGAAATTGAAAAACAAATGCAGAATCAGCGAAGCAGAACAATGTCGTTGGTAAATGAGAAAGATTGTGAAATTGAACGGCTAAAAAAGAAAATAGCTATGGAGCTTGCTGATGCACCATCTATTCACAAGAATAATACAACAATCTCCTTAAGGAATAGCTCTTCGGACGATGCGGTTAATGAACTTCTGTTGCAGTCAAGCCCAGTAAGATTTATCCCTAATTTTATCCCATTCTAATTGCTCGCAGAGAATATAAGCTTGCTTAATTGCTTCTATGCAGGTTTATACACGGTTTCAGATATGTTTGTTTTGTTTTGTTTTTGTACGTCTCAGACGAAGCGAAGTTCAGCTAAAACGTATTGTTTAAGCTATCGATGGCGGTTGCGGGGTGGGCCGGGCTCCAGATGTCATTGTTGACTTGCACACACAGAAATATTCTAATACATTAGCCACCACATGTTCACGACACTCACAACGAAATGGAGGTTAAATATCATCTTCAGTAACTCGCACTAAGTATCCAATCATAAATGCGCCTTGTTATATAACAGTGGAGAATAGAACAGACATAATGGCGTTAATTGTTTTTCTCGGTCCGTGCTAAGAAATAAATCCCATGTAGGAAGAGCATGTGTAGAATGTATTAATATTTCGTTCATTTTTTCTTTATGTTCTTTCCTAAACACTGCAGTCATCTTTGGTGCACAATGCCCAGGAGCAAGCGTATTGCGAAGCAGAATTTGTGATGCTTAAGAAACAACGTAGGGAACTTGAAGAATCTCTGCAAGAAGTCCTTATCAGGTAGAAGTACATTAATGAATAAAAGCAATGCATTGCTTAAAATTTTCTCTTTAAAAATCCAGATAAATTATAGGGCAGCCGAAATTTCTTGATAATTTGAACGCGGGAAATTTTTCGGGAATTTGTCGACTGAGTGTAATTTTGTGTATAATAATTATACATAAAGTCAGAAGCTCTTCGTTAGATTTACCCTTTATATATTATGATAAAATACTTTAAAAATAACATTATAAAACTGCTTTACAGCGTTGCGAATCATACCTTGGACCTTTGATCGGCCATGCGGATTGGAACATTTCCCTTTAAACAAGAATAATGTTCAGTTGATCAGTACTTGGTGTTACAGCTAGGTTCAGGGAACCCTTAACCTCAATCATCTACGACTACATGCATGCGTTATTTATTTGCATCAACTCGCAATCTCCTTTTTCCCATTCCAAGTGAAATGAATTTTTCTTTAATAAATTAGAGCTATACGCCGGTGCAGGAGGCTACAAATCGATACAAATGCAATTTTCTGCCTCCTCATACGTACGGCAAATTTCTCTGGCAATGCATACCTTTGTCACGGGTCATTGTGATTTTTCATTAATGTCAACTGTCAAAAGCCATATCCTTTCCATGACCTACATATCCAAATATACAAAAAAATATGAGTGGTCAATATCCGCTTTTGCAATTTTGTTGTGGTATATACTCCGCGATATTTTAGTAAACTCACTGTTTAAGGTTTTGGAACAAGTTTGAAAAATAAAATAATCACATCACTCACTCTATATTACAGAGAGGAACAAGCCTCTGAACAAGTTGATGTATTGAAAAAGGAGATTCGAAAGCTAGAGCGAAATTGGTATGAACATTCGTCAGATCAATGATTTAAATCTTAATTCATGCAGATTACCTAATATATTTAACCTAGGATATCTTAGCCTAAAACTGGGATTAGAAAATATCGGATTTACGTCTCAAAAATATATCATCTTCTATTATTTCCTTTTCAAGTTCTCGTGAAAATGCTAATTTGGAATACCTGAAGAACGTCATTTTGCGATATCTTCTCACAGAAAGCGACTCAGTTCGACAACAAATGGTGGCTGCTATTTCAACCATTTTAGAATTTAGTCCACAAGAGGTGGGGTATATTCGGTAAAATAAGTGTACTTTCTGAGTGTATATATCTGTGTTAGCTATATTTGTAAGCTATAAGACGTCCCTATAATAGAACCTCTCATGTGCAAACAATCGAAGAAGGATAGATATTGACGGGGGCGGGGATATAACAAAAGGGTTTATTCGGGTTATTTTGTAGATGATTATGGGTTCGGTGTTTAACGTCCTATCAATGATTTAATTTAATGATTGGATTGAAAATAATTGTGTGCTCAATATATTTTTGTTGAATTTGTTTGAACTGAGTTTGAACTGACGGAGATGAAGAAAGAAAGGGTAATCTAATGCAACATTTTTGCGTTTTTTTAGATATCTCATGTAAAACAAGCAACAAAAGGATGGTGGGGAAAATAATTGTAGGAATGGGAATTTTCTCGAAATATTCTCAAAAATTGGCAAAATATCATACAAGGAGCCATACCAGAACTGGAAATGTCCGACACAGCCGCTATTCAATCAGGCTTGAATGCATTTAACTTAACTTAACCTTGCAAAATTAAATTTTTTATCCGGTGATTTTCATTTAATTCATTCAACAAAGTTATCCTAGGAACATGCAAAAGAAGCTTGTCACAATTTACGTGTTAGTATTACGGTAACCATTGAGTATTTTGATTTAATATATATAATTATATAGAACAATAGAAAGCCCCTGAAAAGTACATATTTTGAAAAGTGTAATTTCAATCTTTCGTTTCGTTAACGTTGTCGTTACATTTCCTTTTTTGATAACGTGCCCTGATGATAACTGTACTATAGTTTGTGGAAAGTGAACGTAGTATTCAGATTTTTCTAAATACTACTATACCCCATGTTAGCATATAGTATATCTAGTATAGGTACCTTACCGTATCCTGTGTGTAATACTGATAGTTTGGCAAGCTATAAACATCGATCTATTTCTATTTTCTGCGATCTGTTTGATAAAATAATTCCTATTTTGTAAGCTACAGCCTCGCACCGGTACGCTTTAATAATAAAACATATAACGTTGCATGTGTACCATTATTTATAGCCACAAATTATATTTTAGACAGCAGCGCTAAGAAAATTAGGAAATTAAACGAGACTTACCTGTTAGTTGAAGTTTGATTGGAATTCTTTTGAGTCTTGAACTGCAGCAAGAGATCACATGAGATTGCTTAGCGCATACGCAAAACCAGTATTTACAGTTGAGTGTGACTGGCTCAAAGAGACCATTATTCACCCTTAACTATGTGTAAGAAGATCAGATCCAACACTTGTTCAAGTTTAGTGGGTGGGTAGAATATGACACAGATTCCACATGATACGTAGGGTGGCATGTGATCTCTTGCTGCAGTTCAAGACTCAATAGAATTCCAATCACACTTCAACTTACAGTTAGTCTCGTTTAATTTCCTAATTCTATCTCGTCTTTCATCTGCAGCGGAGACCCCATGAGATTTAAAGAAAAGACAGTCACACAAGTGTCAAAATGTTTCACATCAAAGTGACTGTAGTATATTAATCCCCGAGCCGGTGCGGAGCACCGTGCGAGGGTACTAATTCCGCTCGGATATTTTCACCCACGATGTGCAAATGCGAAATCAAAGTTGTCCGCCATTATGCAATGGACCTCACGCCATGGACGGTCTTCTACGTTATGCGCATGCGCCGGAGTGAACCACTAAGCTCTTGATTGGTCGAGACAAAAATTTGTTTTTTCAAACGTGAATAAATAACTGCCATTTTGCAAAATTTTGATGAAATTTATAAATTTTATGTTTTCATAAAATAAAGAATATATGTATTTTTAATTAAATTAGAGGGAAACTTGAATGTGGTCAGGACTTTTCACGGTTTAACAAATAACAAGACCAAATTTTTGACCGAATTCACCGTGTATAATACAGTCGGAAGATTTTACACTTGATAATATTTCATCCACAGCTTTAAAAAGTAATTCTTTTGTGGTAAACACAACTTTAATATTCTCAAATGTATTTCACTATAAATCTGAATGTTTTATGTGATAAACGACATTATAATTTCATCTATAAACTCCGTTTTCATAATGACAAAAAGAAAAGAAAATCAAAACATTCCCGTGCAAAAACCAGTCGAAGCGTAACATAAAACTTCGGAAGTTATATGAGACGTCTGATGTTATATTTCATGGTAATTAATAATTAAAATAATTTACCATAACACTGACTATAGATGAGTAACTTAACTTCCAGAAAAAGGTAAGAATCTTGTCGTATTTTTTCCATTTTTTCACAAAAATATGAGCATAGGCAGCCCAGAAATCTGTTTATACTCAGTCTTCGACTGCATTGTTTACGCGCGCGGTCAGCTTCTCCTGCCTGTACTGATTACTGTATTATATATTAATACAGTAATCAGTACAGGCAGGAGAAGCTGACCGCGCGCGTAAACAATGCAGTCGAATATAATATATTAATAATATAATATATTAATAATATAATAATATAATATATTAATAATATATTAATATATAATACAGTAATCAGTACAGGCAGGAGAAGCTGACCGCGCGCGTAAACAATGCAGTCGAAGACTGAGTATAAACAGATTTCTGGGCTGCCTATGATATGAGGGTAAACTTTGATTCTTTAAAAATATACGGCCGTTGCGAGTTGCTATGACTACAGTGCTTCCACGTGCAGAAAAATATTTCCACACTTTTCTCAATTTCTTTTTCTCACATACGTAATTTTTCTAACAATAATGTTAGCATCCCTATGCTTAATTAATAACTTATTTTGTTAAACCGAGGCGAGGGGTTTCTGCATGCATGTATTTCTAGTAACATAGCATTTTTTAACATTTAGGTAACTACCAATTTTATATACAGGGTGTCCCAAAAAAAAAGCAACCACTTAAATATGCAGAACATTAATACAGCTCTAAAGCGCAATCCTTAATCCTTCATTTACAATGCTAGAAGTCATTTTAGCTGAACTATGGTGCAAACCCGAACAATATTAATATTCTTGCATATTTAAGTGGTTGCGTTTTTTTTGGGACACCCTGTATAGCTAGTCCAAGTTTTACCTATTAGTCAGCACTGTTGCAGCAAACGTGTTAAACTTACAGCGAAATCGTTCGCTGGCGAAATATTTGCATATTTTCTTTTGAATTGAGAACACTCAAGTCGCACTAATTTATTTATGCTGTTTAAATTCAAAAGAAAATATGCTAATATTTCGCTAGCAAACGATTTCGCTGTAAGTGGAAATCCGCCTTTGCTGTGGACAGGTTTATCATAGTACCTGTCAAATGACCGCGAAGAAGACCACCCCGCTGTTTTCAGGATTCCTTTAATTGGTACGGACCCTGCTTTAGCTTTGGAAGTAGCAGCTGCTCTTGTACGGTGTGGTTTAAGCAGTTTCACATTCACCCCAGAGTCTTTCATTACTAATCGGACCCACCTTGATATTTTGTCCCTTGAGACACGTTTAAATGGCTTTACAAAACTAATAAATAGCTTGATCTCGGATCCTCGTAACGGTTATGTCCGATTTAGTTATTCTGTCATATGTACAAAAACACACAAACGGCAGTCTTCTGGAAAGGCTTTCAACACAAGGGTAGAGGATTGTATCCTGGGCGGCTCTGCTTCACATGCTCTGCGAGTGCAAATTCAAATCTGTCATGAGCCTGTGACATACACTCAACATCTACAGGGTGTCTCAAAAAAAACGCAACCACTTAAATATGCAAGAACATTAATACAGCTCTACAGTAAAGCGCAATAGATAAGCACCTCTGGGAATTGAAAATTCTGGGAATTGGCTGTTAATCCTTCATTAGTAAAATGCTACTTTTAGCATTTTAGCTGAACTATGGTGCAAACCCGAACAATATTAATGCGAACCACACTATGGTTGCGTTTTTTTGAGACACTATGTATAAAGCCGGATATCCACTTACAGCGAAATCGTTCGCCAGCGAAATATTAGCATATTTTCTTTTGAATTTAAACAGCATAAATAAATTAGTGCGACTTGAGTGTTCTCAATTCAAAAGAAAATATGCAAATATTTCGCCAGCGAACGATTTTGCTGTAAGTGGAAATCCGCCTTAAGGTCGACACATGCCGGACGCGAATTGGCAACGCGGCGCGAATTTTCATCGTTTTTATTTTTATTCTTGTATATTGCATAACAATAAAACATTTTGACTGCTCTAGCGTCCATAGTTTCCAAATTTTACTTCCGGAATTTAATTTATACGCTTCTGAAAACTCAAAATTCGCGTCGCATTGCCGCATCGCGTCCGGTCTGTGTTGGCCTTTAAGCGGGTTTTCCACAAGCGATATTTTTCGCGCGAAGTGACTTTATTCCTTTGTTATTTGAGCAATTTGTTCCAGATGGTTGCAGTTGAGAGCTCTGAAACAAAAGTAAAATGTCGCTTCGCGGGAAAAATATCGCTAGTGGAAAACCGGCTTTAAGGGCCTAATCCCACGTGCGCTTTTTCTCGGCGAAATGCGAAATATTTCGCCTGTTTCTTTTGAATTTCGACCACTTGAATAAATTAATTCTGCTTCATTGCTCACAATTCAAAATAGCAGGCGAAATATTTCGCATTTCGCTTAAAAATTTAGCCCGTGGAATTAGGGCTTAACATGTGAAGGCTTTGTCCTCTTTGAGCAGTTACTGAGGCTACGAGCATGATAGTCTTCAGACTGAGGCTACGAGCATGATAGTCTTCAGACTGAGGCTACGAGCATGATAGTCTTCAGACTGAGGCTACGAGCATGATAGTCTTCAGACTGAGGCTACGAGCATGATAGTCTTCAGAGTGAGAAGCTTTAAAGACGAGACTGTTGCTGGTGCAAACGATGAGAGATACGTCAGTACCATCTGCACATCCCACGTTGTTTCATAACGAGGAGTTGGTGGTTTACTCTTAAAAATCCCGTTCGTAAACCTATATAGATACAAAAGGGGGACACCCCCGTGCAATATTATCTTTTGGTAACGTGAACGCTGAAATTGCACTTCTAGCAGTATGAATTGTCGTATGCGCCAACTTCTGTTCGTGAAGCTCGTTCAGAAAATCCAAAAATTTATTTCCAGGGGGTTCAAAGGAATTAATATACTGGGGTCGGTTGCGTGAAAGCCGGATTGCGCTATCCACCGGATAGTGATATTTTTTCAACATTTCTAAAAATGCTCGAAAAGCGATAAAATTTTATCTTTGGAAGCAACAATTATTAAAGAGGATCCTCAATTTACGAATACTAAGATTTAATCAAAGTTATACCAAAACAACGCACGATTTTGAGGGGATTGAAAAAACCACTATCCGGTGGATAGCGCTATCCGGTTTTCATACAACCGACACCTGTTGATTACAAAAGTTAGTCCATCTCTTAATGTAATGTTGGTATTGTTTGTGTGTCCCATCAGACCACGATTGGAGGATGACATTGGTAACTTTGCTTGAAATTCCTCTCTGCGTAAAAGTTTCCCGGAGACCTTGCATGCAATCAGCCTTGTCTGATTTCTCAAGCACGGATGTAAAGCACTGCTGCATATATATGTGCGACTGATCCAATTAACCTGTCCGACTGAGAAAGAACTCGAGGCTTCTCCACCAGGAGATGGAGTAGTACAGTAAACCAAGGCTGAGTTTTCCAAAGTGGTACAATGATCGTTTGCTTTGTTTGTTTCGATTTTCCGTAGGCAGGTTGCAATCAGGCTAAACGGAGGAAAGGCATAAAAATTATTATGTTCCCAGTTCATGAATAATGCATTAATAAACACTGCCTTAGGGTCTGGTTAGGTTCTATGCACTTTGAAAGTATGGCGTGCTGCAAATGTCAAATGGTCCCCACAAATGATTTATGGTGGCAAACACTTCAGAACTCAGAAACCATTCTGTGGACTCTTTTAAGTCCCTCGAATCTGCATCTGCCTGCATGTGTATTGAGTATGCCAGGAATATGGCATGCACTTA